GTCAATCTCAAGTCACAATCAACACAAAATTGGTCACAATCAATCACAATTGGTCACAATTAAGCACAGAGACACAGGATGTCTCCGTGTCTCTGTGTGGTGGTGTTCTTGAGTAATGACAAGGGCTAAAATGATTATATAGAAAATAAAATTGAAATAAAGGAGGTCAAACAGTGGCTAAACTAGTGTTCTCGAGTAACAACAAGGGCTTTCAGAGAGTTATATGAGGCAGTTGAACTATATGTGATGCCTGAAAAACTTGATAGATTATATTTTGGATTATTACAAGATTTTGCTCTTTTATTATTCATTTTTCTTTTTCTCTTGCTGCTAGTCCTGCCAAGGCATATTTGGGTATACATTTCTCTCTTAAATGTCTCCAAATACATATTTCAAGAAAGAATATCTGAATAATAAGTAACATAAACAACCAATTTCTAAGCAAAACGAAACACAAAGCTCATAAATTCAAAGAAACTAGCCCAATGACTTGAAAAACATAAAATTTTGAATACTAATTACATAATCGACAACTCTGTGTTTGATTGCAGCCGGAATGCAACACCACCACCACAACAACAAAAACCCACCGCCTCCGCAACCTCGTGCGGCTCCAGTGGGAGCGACCTTTGGTGATGGTGGCTCAATCACTCTGTTCCTTCCCGAAATCTGAAACAGCAACCCTGGAATCAGCACCACGAATAGTACCACCGCTATAACCACCGGCCCCCAATCTGCCATTTAATTTATCTCTAGCACTCTCTTTAAATGAGCAGCTAGAATGCAACACCACCACCACCACAAAAAAAACCTATCGCCTCCACAGCCTCGTGCGGCTCCAGCGGAGCGACCTTTGGCGGTGGTGGCTAATACTCCATTAGTGGCTTCACGAACAGCTCGGGTGGGGACGGTGATCTCGAGAGAGAGAAGAGATAGGGAGTGGAAGAGAGAGAAGTTAGGGTTAGAAATGAAATTGGGTTTTGAACGAAATGGGGGTGGGTGGGGTTGAATATGTGGATTAAATTTTAATTTTATAATATTATTATTAAAATTTAAAAAATGAATTAACCCCTGATCTGTGAAAAGAAAAGTTTTAAGATCTGATATTTGAAATGTATAATTAAAATGTAGGTTTTGGGGTAATTTTTCCAAATTTTTATTTCTAAAAGAATAGCTCAAAAGTTTTTTTAAAAAAAATTGGGTCGGACGCCTGCCACAGATTGTAGACCATGTGACCCGATATTACTACCCCATTAAATTTTGAAATTTTAATTTATTTTTCTCTCTCCTCTTATTAACCACACATTCTCTCAATGAAATAATATTACACATAAATCAAAAAAAATCTCTTACTTTTTAACAACACATTCTTCAAAAAATACTATTCCAAAATTATTATTTTTTTTTTTTTTCAAATAATAGAGCTCAAACAAAGGCTAAAAAAATAAAAAATTACTTTTCACTGTAGAATCATAGCCGTTGAGAAGTCAAAAACACGTATTGCTGAGATATTGACGAGTGGGACAGTGACTTGCCAACCATCCACTCGAGTCTTAAAGTACATAGTAATTATATCCCCTCGGTAGGAAATCTGAAAATAAAAGCAAAGTGTGCCTTTTTTTCATTTAAATTTAAGCAGCATACCTGTCACAAGAACCCTTTTGCCTTCTTTAGTACTTTGCTTTTCCTTCAAATCTTCCCTCCCTCTTCAATCAAAATTCATATCAATTTGGTTCCCATTTCCATCAGTTCCACCCACCCATACCCCACTATTTTCTTGAATTTTTCTTGGGAACATGAAAACAAGCTAGTAGAACCTGAAGGAAGGCCGTCTCCATGCCCCTACCTATTCTCTTGATGACCACCCTTTCTTATCTGTCTTCAAGTGATCCAGCCGAGTCTCGAAAGCGTTGATCAAGTCTTTGGTTCCTTAAACCTTAACTCCATTTTCAATCAAAATTTATGTCAACATGGTTCCTTTTATCAACTCCCCCACCCACCCCCACAATTTTCTTGAATTATTCTTGACGAAACTTTTCTTTCATCAGTCTTCTAAATTACTATATTCTAAGGTGTGCTTCTTTGTAGCATTCAGTGCTATGTTTTATTAGGCATAATGTTCCTTTCTAATTCTTAGGACTAAATACCAGCACCACAACACACGCTACCCTACCCTACCCCAGTATTTTCTTGAATTTTACTTGACTAAACTTTTCTTCATTTTAGTCTTCTTATTACAAGATTCTAAGGTGTGGTTGTTTGTTGCATTCATTGCTATGTTCTGAATCATGCTCCTTTCATGATTCAGATATGAATGTCTTCTAGCTCCATACCTCACTTTCTCTGTGATTTCATTTTCTACACTTCTGAAAGGGGCTATAAATTCAATTCAGTGTATTCTTGCATATTCAGAAGGGAGTTTCTGAGTATAATGGAGATTAGCAATAAAACCATATCAAAAATGGAAGATTATGAAGTAATAGAACAAATTGGAAGAGGGTCTTTTGGAGCTGCATTTCTTGTTCATCATAAAAATGAGAAAAAGAAGTAAGGATTGCCTTTTTATTTTTCCTCTCTAAATTTACTTTTATATTTTTATCTTATTTATGATCGATCATCATCACTAGAAAGCAATTTTTCCTCATTGACATATATTTATCTTCATCATCTGCATTTCATCAAGCAATTTAGCATAAATTAGAAGTGGTGAACAACCTTAGTTTTTTTTCTAAAAGCTTAAATTGTTAGAGAGAAAACGCTTTTATTTATTTAAATTTAGTTTTCAAGAGGTCGGATTCTTATTCTCTAAAAGCATGACAAGTGACTAATTTTCATAAAGGAGTGGCGGTGAGAATTTGAAATAAAATTTTTATCTACTTTACCATGTTAAACTGTTAAATCTAAAAGTTTAAGCATATAGAGAATTTATACTTAAATTGGAAGTATATATCTTTACGTTTAACAGCTGATGCTATCTTTTCTTTCCACCTTCTCTAGTGTGTTACTAAGATCAATCAGTTCTAGTACGCATGCATACTTCTAGAGATTGTTTTACATTCTTTTACTTTCTCGTCCCCTTTAAGTGGAAATTTATTGGGAATAAGGCTTATTTTGTTGACGTTGTTGTTGACGTCCCATTTTGATATCTCCTTGTTGAATGTGTATACAGGTATGTTTTGAAGAAGATTCGCCTCGCTAAGAAAACTGAAAAATTTAAGCATGCTGCCCGCCAAGAGGTCTTTCTTCCAAAACAAAGTCACTTATTAACTATTACTCTTTCATGTTTCACACAACACAAATTATTTCCAGGTGGTTCGTGTTTAGTAATTCGGTATGACATATGAGAAAGGACTACTTTATTATCTATTACAATTTGATATGATTTTCAATATTCAAAAATTACTACGAATTCGTGTGTTACAAATCTGTTATTATTTAGTAGCTAGAGATAACTTGTAATCTCGTGCAGATAAATCACAAATGACAGATAGCAGCACAAGTTAGGAAGATAAAAAGAATCAATTTTGTGCAATATATCTGCTAATACATGGACAAGAAAAAACTAATCATCTTTCAACTTGATTCTTCCATCAGATGGATTTGATGGCGAAGCTAAATAACCCCTACATAGTCGCGTACAAGGATGCATGGGTCGAAAAGGTAAACTAGCCAACTGAATTTTCATTGCTAACACTTCCCTGTACAAAACCGGTGTTATTCAGTTCATTTGCCACATTAAAATCAAGAACTAATTTATAACTTAAAAGATTGAATCCATATCATACCTTGACGAAATGGGAATGTTTATTCTGATGGACCACAGGACTGCTGCGTGTGCATTGTGACAGGTTACTGTGAAGGTGGAGACATGTAAGTAGCATTGAGCTTATTCGAGCACTTAAACTCTGATGACTTGTTTGGTAAAGTGGATTATACTTAACAGTATTGTCGAGTTTAGTACTCCATACCAAACACGTCTTGAAAGTGCCCATGTCAATTTTAACCTGATCTTTATATCTTCTTTTAACCTTAATCGTCTTTGCTATACTGGTGCTGCTGCTACAGGGCAGAGATAATCAGAAAAGCTAGAGGAATATTTTTCCCTGAAGAGGTCAGAAATCCAAACGAACAAATTTGATGTTAAAGGCCCGTAAATAAGCAATCTACTTCTTTTTCTCTCTACAGAAAATCTGCAAATGGCTAACTCAATTACTTCTTGCTGTGGATTACCTTCACTCTAATCGCGTCCTTCACAGGGATCTTAAGGTATATTTCTTAGTGACTTCAAGTATATATGGATTTTAGGCCATAAAATATGAAAAGGGCTTTAATCATATTCATATGTTCTTACAACTGTTTATGCTCCTGATCCAGTGCTCAAACATTTTCCTTACAAAAGACAACAAAATCAGACTTGGTAAGAAGAGAGACAGTATATTACAATCTATGATCCTCTGGTGTTTCTTGTATCTAATGTTAGATATACAGGTGACTTCGGGCTTGCAAAACTGCTTAATAAAGATGATCTTGCTTCATCGGTAAAGATCTTGCTTCCTATAGGAGCTAAAATCAGTTTTGCTAACTTATCAAATCTTTATGTTGATAAATTCCTTTGAACTGTTTGTTTTATGTCAACCTAAAGCTGTTCATTACATGCCGATTTAGGTTGTTGGAACTCCAAACTACATGTGTCCAGAAATACTAGCAGATATACCATATGGTTACAAATCAGACATATGGTCCTTACGTAATTTTTCTGGTGACTAGTTGATTTAATTGTATCGTTGTGTATTGACATGATGAGAGGAGCCTCAACCATTGACATTTTCCATTTCAGGTTGTTGTATGTTCGAAATAGCTGCCCATGTACCTCCATTTCGAGCTGCAGTAAGTTTCAGGTTCATTTGCTGACTCATTTCATCTGTAATCTCTAGTTTGAATCGCGGTCAATATGTATGAATGTTGATGAAACAGGACATGGCTGGACTAGTGAACAAAATAAACAGATCAACTATTTCTCCTCTTCCAACAGCATACTCCTCGACTCTGTAAGTGAATGGAACAATGTCTATCAATGAAAATTCCAAACCATATCCTGAGTTTTTTGATTAATTTTAACCAGCAATAAGCAATGAGAATAATGAACTTCTCGACATTGCAGGAAGCAAGTGATTAAAAGCATGCTTAGACGAAGCCCTGAACATAGGCCTACAGTAAGTGAGATACTCTTAACTTGTCTCATTTAAGTGACAATTTCGTTTGATGCTTTTATGTGCACCGATTTAGGCTGCAGAACTATTAAGGCATCAGCATTTGCAGCCATATCTTGCTCAATGTAGCAATTTATCACCTGTCTTTCTTCCGGTGAAATGTGAAATCGAGTCAAAGTGCAAGACAACAAAGGCCAAGTTTCCTGAAAAACCTACATCGGAGAAAGACCGAAAACCTAGAACGAAAGGAATGGTGAAAAGGTCAAAAGACGTTTCAGACACAGAGAGAAAGGCAGATTTGCCCACTTCCTTAAAAGTTCCAAAACATAATATGAAAAATCAGGCAGCAGATCCAACAAGTTGCTTAAATCAAGTACCTAAATTGGATGTGAGAGTCGAAAAAAACTGTCTCAACAGACATGAGAGTATTGATTCGGGATCCTCATCAGGATCAAGTACACTGACTGATCAGCAAGAAGACACAGAACAAAAAGAATGTACTCAGCAATTACGCGTTGCTGGTGAAGCTGATATTGATCGTAAGAATCCATGTGACAAAAACATACCAACAAAAGGAATTCAAGATATTGCTTTGACTGGAAGGATGTTATCAAAAAGTATAGAGACACTTGTACATAGAGATGAATTCGGAGGAAACATATCGGCAATAAGTACTCTAAAAAATGCTGCTCCTAAAGAAGAGAGGGAAGAAGCTATGGAGACATTACTTGAACTTTGTGCACAACTACTAAAACGAGAAAGGCTTGAAGAACTTGCTGGCGTGCTGAAACCATTCGGGGATGAAGAAGCTGTATCATCGAGAGAAACAGCAATTTGGTTGACAAAAGGGTTAATGAATATTCAAAGACAAGGTGGAGAAGTTTAGCAGCATGAAATTTTCAGAACTTCCTTGTACAATTGTTGCGGTGCTTGCAAAAACTCATGAAAATCAAATTACCTTCAAAATACTTTGAGAAACTGAAATCAACCTTCATTGTTCAATATCATATGGTCAATCGAAGCAAAAAGAAGCATATAAAATGATCAAAGAACCATTTCAATGACTCAATTATAGCTGAATGATCATTAAAGACTTAATGAAAACAAAAGTACAATAAAAGGCCATGATTCTAATGTCACCGCTGCCCATTTATGCAAATATCTTTATGTACTAAAATTTTAATGAAAAGATGAACTAAAATTACTCGTGTTGAAGATAAAATATAAATAAATAAATCAATGTATTTATTTTTTATTCAATTTAAATTATAAATGGTAAGTAGTGTTTGATTTTGATCTCAACCTCTACGATTTACTAACGTGTAAAGGGTTTCCAACGTGAATGTCATTTGTCATGATTGGACTCTTATTTGCCTTGTTCCTAAAGTGAAGGAACACCCAAGTTTACACCTGCTAACTTCTGTACATTTTTAAGAGGATCTTTTATTTTTCTTCTTTTTTAATTTCCTTTACTATCAAGGTTTTCGACTATGAAACTTATCAGTTCTTGAAAAAAGTCAAATATACATGGATGTTTCACAGGGAGAGAGGTGGCATTCTTGGATTGGATGATGGAAAAAAAAACAGATTAAAACATATCAACGCAGTGTTGACACTTGGCATCTGACAAAAAAACTTCTGAAACTCCCCTATACTTGTAGCATTGTTCATCAGTTCTTATATAAGTTACCAAGAAAACTGATTGAACTTAGTCCCATGTTTGATGGTCATTATTTTGAGAAAATAGAGTTTTGAATTGTGATTTTTTTGAAAATGTGTAATTAAAAAAATAGGAAAAAGCTTTGAGTTTACGTACAAAATATTTTATTGTGTAAATGTGTAGTTGAAAATAAGTATGAAAATTAAGAGTTTAGAAATAATGATTGTTAAACTGGACTTAATAAATTGTCTAAGTTACCTCGAAATCCCAATAATCGCATTTTTATCATGTGATCCTCGTTAAATTCTAAATATTCATTTAATAGATGTTAAGTTTTGAATATTTTTTCATTTCAAAATAAAATTAAAGTGACTTGATGCTTCAACCAATATTAATCGGATAATTTGGTGTCATAATCGAGTTATTGGTCGATTGAGTCTTAAATTTACACTCATGTTTGATTCACATTAAAATTATAATTCATTTTTTTCCACCTTCTTATCAATAACATATTTTTAAATAAAATAATATTACACGTAATCCCAAAAAATTTTCTCTTTTTCAACCAAGTATTTTTAAAAAAATATTATTACAATTATTAAAATTTCAAATATTGGGGGGGTTTAAGGGACCCATTCATTTGAACACCTGTCTGATTCTGACCTAGCATTCCAACTTTTTTACACGGGGACCACATTTGCAACGTTAAAAAATTCGAACGTTACAGCAAATCAAATCCAACCGTTGCACAAAACCAACGGCTATAAATACTCATCTTCGTGTCTCCTCTTTCACTCAGCAGCACCTCTCTCGCTCCACAGTTCTCGGCTTCTCTATCTCTCCCTCTCACTCAACGCATACATTACAATCTCTTTGTATCTATTTTTCTTCTCTTCTCAAACTAATCAAATGGCAATTTTCGGAATTTCAAGAGCGGCCGTTACCATATTCATCGTGTTATTTCTGGCAGCCTTTGCAGTAAAGGCACGGGATGCTGATTTTGCACCGTCTCTGGCACCGGCACCAGGGCCAGATGCTGGAGCTGGGTTATCGCTAGCTGTATCGGGCACCTTCATTTGCTCTTCGTTGCTCCTGTCAGTCATTGGGATTCTCATGCAGTAGATATACATGGTTTTGGAAGATTGAGAAGCTGAAAATGATGTGAGAAAGAAATAATAGTATATAGAATAGACTCTACATTGATTCTCAGTATGGCAACGATAATCATTCTATTTTTTGATTTAATTATCGGTATTTGTTCTTGTGTTTTTCCCAACCTTTGGTTTGGATTTGATTTGGCGGTGAGTGGATTTTTTTGATGAATAAAAGTTATTAAATATTAATTTTCTTTGGATCAATTTATTTGTTGTTTTTCAAGTTTGTTTAATATAATATGCAAGTGTTATCTTTTGTCAAAAAATGAACAAATTAAAGGGCAATGTACTAGGAATAAAATATGGGGTGAAATGAAAGACACTGATTTTTATTAAGGGCGTGTTTGCATTAGATTAAAATTTGATTTTAATTTAAGCAATTTTTTTTTAAAATATGCCACTAAATTTCACTTCCGAAATGGAAGTTAGAACATAATTTCTCGTGTATCAAAAACATGAGAAAGACAAATTGACACCCTCTCTCACAAATGAGTCATGGCATGACTCATTTCAAAAATTTATCTACTGTCATAAATATTTATAACATCTATATTATGTGACCCTAATATTCTTCTAAATTTTCAAACATTGTGGCAGAGAAAAAATTCGTATAGTTTGAATCAATAATTTAATTGTTCCATCCATCAGAAATTATGGTGGTGGGTTTATCAAGTGGCGTAGGTAGTATAAATTTAGTCCAATCACATTTGTTTCGTCTCCAAAAGAAGTTCAGCATCTTTGTCGTTCAAATTATGATTGTCGTCTAACGTAGGACTCTGACTTGGGTGATGATTTGGAAGAGTATCTCAACCTTTTTGAAGAATACATTATGACGTGCCTTAATTTCTGTAAACTGTCAATTTACTGAACAATGCTATACGAGATTATGAACATGCCATACGAAATGGTCATATGTTCATGCTCTAAACTTCGAACAATAGCGGTAAAAAAGCATTTCAAGAGTTTCGAATATATCAACGGATGTTCACCCAATTCACGTATATATTGCGGAAAGAGTATGGTTTATGCAGTGGTTCGTAACTTGACATATATGAACAGGGTTGTATGTTCTTTTGCATATTACCGCATATGACGGAGTACAGTCAGGTTCAGACATTATTCGATTGCTCCTCGAAAACAATAGGCCACTACTTCAATTTGTTTTGCGTGCTATCGTTTGTCTAGGGTCGTATTTCATAAAAGGTCATCCGAACTATAATCAGAGTCCTACTCACCATAAGCCTGATCCAGTTTATTAGCCCCCTATTCTAGGTTAATATTTATACTGCAGTACTGTTATATATTTTTACAAGAATATTTCATGTTAAACTAAAACTTTAAGTCATATTTACTGCAATTGCACTTAACATGACAGGTTAAAAATACAAATTATTATGTTTTTTTTTCTAATAGTCAGATTGCATAGATGAAATCAACATAACCATGTTAGAGTTGTATTGTCATGCAAACAACGACAATACTTCATTGGATGTAGAGGGATTCATACACAAATGTATTTGCTACTTAGTGATTTCAATTTATGTTTCACATTCGTTTTGAATTGAAATGGAATGGGTTGTGCCTAAACCTAATGAACTGCTGGTATTGGGTTGGATCAAAAAGGTTTTGGGCTTCACTTTTTAGCTGGACATTAGAATTTTATAATATATATATATATAGTCCATTTTTACGGCATGTCTTATATGCATGCCGTAAAGGTAACATTTGTTATAGTGACTATCTAGTTGACTCCAATTTTGTACCTCGATCGAGTTACATGACACCCTCTAGGCCTCTACAAACAATCCAATATAGGATACCACTTCCAATAGTTCTATTGAAGGGACTAAAATCGTAGGTGTAGATTTCAAAATGCTCATTTGAGGTTCAACTACAGCCACCCTTCATTTAGAAATGTGATTGAATATGTCTTTAGTGTCTCGAAATAAAGATGAAATTTTTTTGACTGTATGTCAAACTATTCTTTCAGAGTGTAAACATCAGTGATCGTCACAAATTAACGATTCAAAACTCTCAGACATATCGAAGTTGTTGACGAGGTGCTTAGAAGGGTTGATGCAGACGAAAATGTTGTTGAAATACAGCTTTCAAACGAAGAAGATGAATTGGAAGCCAAGATGAATGCACCTGAAATGTAATACTCTTTGTGAGATCGACTTCGCAATTGTATGGTTAAGCCATCATGATGAATATTTATACAATCTTGAGGGTACATGTTAGTTTACCCATCTCCACCCCCCTCCCTCACATGGGAGTTGGGTCCCACGCATTTATTGGATGTGGGACCCGATCCCAATGTGAGGAAGGAGGTGGGATCAGGTAAATCAAAGTGTACCTCAAATGGTACAAATAGCATAATTTATATTTATATGTTGGTTATGTAATTCCAATAGTTCTTACGTTTTTTTTTTTTTTTTTTCTTTGTTAACCAATAGGCAAAGATTTAGAATTTCAGAAAAGAAAAATTCTTGAAAGATGCTAGTACTTTTCTGTTTGACACCCATTAAATTGATGGGTAATATAAAAAATTTCCGCTTTTGTGACAAGTGTTTCAGATAATTATAAATAAGGTTATCTTGTCGGAGTGAAATTTTTTTATCCTACCCATTAAAGACTAGAGATTAATCCCCTGTTTGACACCCATTTTAACAATTGTTTGACACCAATTTTTTAAAAAAAATTTGATTTGGAATAATGATTGATATTTGAATTATTTTGTACTAATAGAATATTTAATCTTCAGGCTTCCAGAATGTTTGGCTGCCAAAGAAAAGAAGGTAAATGTTATTTACGAGTAATTTTTTTAGTCGGTCATATATTTAGGATGTGTTTGACACTCATTTTAGTAGAAAAATATGTTTTTGAATAGTGATTGATGGAAGAATGTATGGTTAAAATGTAAGGAGAATTTTTTTATTTATGTTTAATATTATTTTATTGATAAAATGTGTCGTTGAAATGAAAAATAAAAAAAAATGAGAATGAGAAAAAATTGATGTCAAACAATGGCTTAGCCCACGTTTGATCTACATTATTATCTCATTAAAATGAAAAATATGATCGTTATCCATTACATCAATATTTAAATTTAAATTTTCTATCTCTTATGTGGACCCCAATAACTGTTATATTTTTCATTATCATTCTACAATAATTTGGCTCAAACAAGGCCTTAATCTCATTCTCATTTTTTTCTTTTTCTTTATTTCAACCACATATTTTTCAAATAAGATAATATTACATATAAATCTAAAATTTTTCATCACACATTCTCTCATCAATTACTATGTCAAAAATGTTATTCTCATTTTAATGAGATTCACTTAAAATGGTATAGAAGACTAATAGAAGTCATTGTCATTTTCTTCATCAGTGGGGCCACAATTAATGAAGCTGTCGATTGGAGAGAGAAATGCATTATTGAATTGTTGACTTGCCATGTCAAGCGTTTTAATTTTTCAAAACACCCTTGAATTAAATGGTGACAGTAAAGAAAGAGACAAAATGATTCTCAACAACTTCTGTCTTCATTTATATAAGAAATGATTTCTGTCATTTAAAACACTATTGATTTACTGTTGAAAAATGACAACCTCATTACAATCTCATTTTGATGAGAATCAAACTGGGGCTTATGTCGCAAAATATTTGAATTGGCCCTTTTTTTTTTTTTTTGGGAAATATTTGCTTCCAAACAATTGTCCCTTTCATTTGACGTTAAGAAACCACGTCTCATGGCCTTTTTTCTACGACTAGTTTAGTCAAACAAGCTTTTGTTCAGATGGGGACCACGTTGGAATTAATCTAACAAATAATTTCACAAGCATCAGGGAAAGGGCAAAACAGACATTGTCACCATGTTTCTTTATTGCAAATGACAATGTATGTTTTGCAAATGATAATGAACGCACACGACTGAATTAAAAAACCGGGTTTTTTGCTTGAGAAAGTGCTTCCAGACATGCACATATTTTAGAGAGTGTTTGGTGAGAATTAAAATAATGCTACATGTACATTCATTTTTTTACTTAAATCTTATCATACACTCACAATAGAGTGTGTGGACCATACATTTGGGAATTTTTTATTTATGTGGGTCCCGCACGCATGTGAGAGGATGTAACATTTTCGATACAAAAAAATCGGTTAAGGGAATTGCCCTTAGATTTTTAGTGGATTGTGATAGAAGTTTTTGAAATGTGCGGTTGAAAAGATGTGGAACACATTAAAGATGTAATTAATATTGATTATTTAACTTTGATTTAGATTAAAATCAAATTTTAATATGGCCCAAACAAGGTCTTAAAAAGTAACATTGAATTATAGTTACAATTAAATATAAAGAATTATAACACATTTAATATAATCTATAATATGCTGACACGTAAACTAGTTTTCAACAAGTGCTAAATAGTATTAGGGTAATTGGCACATAATTTCCGTTCATTTCATTATTATTGTAAAAAACGTCATCACCTTTTATTTTTTTACATTATCACTTTTATAACCACATTTCATTGTAAAAAAGGCAATTTTAATCCATTTTTTTAATTAAAAGTTGCGAAATGACGAATATAAATTTCTATTTAAATAAAAAACTTAACACAGATCTATGCACAGACCCATTTCACAAAAACTCTACATACAAATCTTAATATCCAAGTCTTTCATGAACCACGACTTCTTGCATGTAGAGTGTTTAGTTCTGCTTCCATCTCTCTTCTAACACGTAGAAATCCAGGGATTATCTCCCTCGACCTGTCGCACATTGGAGGATCGTACCGTCAAAGAAGTTACATTCACTGACATTCTGAAGCCGTGGACAAGCAAGAAATCTTCTTCCTAGGTTCAAGTTTGTCCATGAGGTTTTCATTTGTACAGGATCACCACATTTACATACACTGCTCTCCATATTCACATCTACGATAATGGGAGAAAGAGAAGAAGAATATATAAGACCTGAAAAATGAGGGAAATGAATAGTGATTAGTACACTGAAAATTGGGAAATAGGAATGGACGAAAATGCATGTGTTTAAATTGGTCAAAATTTGTCTTTTTTTTCCATTTTTGAGGTCAATTGACGGTGAAACTAACGTTTTCCGTCATTTTGGACTGCATCTGCAAATTTCTCAAAGGTTTAGGACATGTGGTGGCACAAAATGAAGGTTGAGATGAAGTCTGCAAAAAACGAAAAGGTTGGAACCGCGGATGCTGTTTTCCCTAAAATTAAAGGAATTACACTTCATGCATGAACGGAAGGAATTAACCTAGTTATCTTATGTACTTCCATAATGACAATTTATTCCCTTAGCTGCCATAATTATATTTAAGAAAAAACTGACCATTGTTTAAATTGACTAGGAGAATATTGTACACTATTCGAAACAACTAGAAAATTGGCATGCAAGATTCGAAAGTCGAGTCGTGTGTAGTCTCTTATTCAACTTTTTCCTTGCTCTTTAACAAAAATAACAAAAATAACTATAGGAGCAGTACTTGGCTTTTTAAATTTGGCTTTAAGATCCTTCGATTCATCTCCCAAATATGCATTAAAAAATGCAACCACAATTCCTCCTACAGCCCTTCTCAAGTCTTCCTTTGAACCCTCACCACTTTTACACACCCAACTTGCTAAATAGGCCTTGGATTCATCCAACATATCACAATGCCCATATTCCTTTGCAAGAAAGTAACAACAAGGAGGTTTACTCTCGTTAAAAAACTCTGCGTGGTTGACTCCGTCTGGGGCAAAAGGTGGGATGACGCCCTTCCATTGGTCCCCTAAGCCCATACCTGTAGAAGAATTTAAATTAATAAGCTTATTCTTTTAACGTCTTAAACTTTTAGACGTTATCTGGTTCAATAGTACCTATTATCCCAATTGGAATTTCAAGATTGAAAGAGTGTGGGACGTAGGTGAGGATTTTGGGTTCCGGCCGGGAGGAAGGTGACCAGCCGTCAACAGGGTCGATCCCTAGTATTGCCAAGAATTCGAGACTTGTTGGGGCATGGCCTAATGCAAGGGCAAATGCTACCTTACCACCTCTGCTATGGCCAGATAGCGCAAGCTTGGAGAGATCGGGTTTGACCTTTTCTTTCAGCACTTGTGGAAGGCCTGTCGATAGCCAGTCAGTTACTTTGGCTGCTATCTCGATTTCTTTCGTTATGGAGACTAACATACAATGGTAAAACTGCGAGGAAGGACAAATAGTATGAAAATATTACATCAATCATAGGAAAACCTGTTTCACGTATTGCCCGTAATATTGTACAACAATATTTAACGTAACTAAAAGACACAACATGATTTGCACTAATTATTCTACTCCTAAAAGTTTACGAAATCCACTAGACAACAAGAGACTCTGAATTATCCTTGGCAATATTAGAATTCTTGTTGGATCAGATAATCTAGACTTTTGAACACCATAATAAATATAATAAATTTTAAATTTTTTTTTCCTTTTTAATATTGTCCTAGATTGATCAACACAATATGAAAACATGCAAAGATTTTCAGATCAAGTCTTGCGGCAGCCCATTTTTTTAAAATCTTTACACATATCAGACATCTGGTGGAAAAATGAATCCGATCTACACCTGGATGAGCGTAACCGTTTTAAACTTTTAGTTAAGGTAGTTCATCAACTGTGCTATATACCTCTCTACCTAAGAGAGTAGAGAGAGAGAGAGAGAAATACCTGAGGTGCAACAACAATGTAACCATGGGAAGATATATGTTGCAGAAGTTGAGAGTACCAAGTGTTGTTGATGCAAAATCCATGACAAAAAAGTAGCACTGGATACGTATTTTCTTCAACCGGTGCAACGATGAACAGTTGTGTAGGTGGTGAAGACCGGTCCGATGTATTAACGGTGAACGGGTTCACCTCCACAGATCCTTGATCGAACACAGAAGATCTACTTGTGGCTAAAGCCATTCTTTTCTTCTATGAGTTTTGTGTGCATGAAAAATGAGGTCATGCCCTCGTAATTTATAATTGCTTGGACAGTGTGATTAGAACAATTACCTACGAGCATTAACTAGATAGAAATCCCAAATTAACTCAGTCATATATCTACTCAAACGTAAATTAATGTCCTCTAACACGTGCGTGCCGACGTAGTTAAAAAAAAAAAAAAAAATCTATTTTATCTAAATGCTGACAAGATCAAAAGTTTATCCTTGTTAGATTTAAATTTAGAATTCAATATGTCCCCTTGTGTTTCAACGATGTGAACAAAAATTTATAGAATTGAGAAGTTGAAATAAATACTACAGAAACTTTCAAACCATGACTAGGAATTACACGTATATCATGAGTTTTGTTTTGTTTTTTTTCAATTAAGAATTAACATACAATGTTTTAACAGCAGTACACGTTGTCATGTTCTGCTTTTTTTTCGTAAGTATACCATTTTCATGTGTCGTGTCACCTTTCAGTATGGAGGAACGAAGAGTTGAACGTACAACAACAACAAAAATCTTCAATAATTGTTGCTAACTTTTGCAACCACTGGCGGACCCGGGGTGCTCCCCCAATTTTTGAGAATTTTTTTTTTTTTAAGTTACGTTTGATATCGATTGAAATCTAAATTTTATTCTAAATCAAAGTTAATAATTAATCTTAATAACATATTTCATGGAATTCATAACTGTTTTAACTTTTATCAAAATTTACTAAAAATTTGATTTTAATCTCCACCAAACAGGGACAAAATCACAATAAATTTAAATTTCGATAACATGCTAATTTTAAAAATTCTCCAACGATCGTACGCTTATCGAATCTACAAATTGCTTATGTCATCTCAAAACTTATTTCAAGCACTGCATTATGGGCATATCGAATAGTCCAAATAGATATCGAAAATAGTTAAAAATACGTTAAACGTGAATCTTAAATAAAGACGTCTAACTCACATTTTTTAAAAAAAAATTCAATTATTTCATTAACATTTATTATTTTTGCGATACAAATTTCTCAATGTAATTTTCACTATTTTATTAAGAAATTTTATATGGAATATAATATCAAAAAATTTCAAAATTTTACATCCGAAAAGTTATATCCCATGTAAATTTTCGNTTATATGGAATATAATATCAAAAAATTTCAAAATTTTACATCCGAAAAGTTATATCCCATGTAAATTTTCGGATGTAAAATTACACGGAGTATAATTTTTTTAGACGTAAATTTTCGATTGTAAAATTTCTCTCAACTTCCTTGCAAGTTAGATTGTGCCCCCTAACTTTAAAACTCTACGTCCGCCCTTGTTTGCAACGTAGTCGAAAAGTCTATGATGACAGTACTTTGTGCTGTTTGAAAATGGATAAAATGTAAAATAATTGAGCAATGAATGGACAATTATGGAATGGTAGTCACTGTTAAATTGTGTGATAAATAAAAATAGGAAAATTGGCACAAATGATCTCTAACCTATTGAGTTGTTACGTAGTACCTAACCTTCAAGTTCTAACACAAATATTCCTAATATTTCATTTGATGGATCTCGTTGGTCCTTTCGAATGTTTTCCATCCAATTGACCTTTAAAAGGTAAAACTTTTGATATAAAGATGAAAATGTTCAATAAAATAAAGAAAATGAAATCGGTAAAGAGAATAGTAAGCTAATCTTTCCAATCAATCCCCTATAAGAGCATCCGTAATGTAAATGTAGATTACTTAAAATATTGTGACATTTAAGCACAATAGAATGCTTTTAAAAAAATATTCCATCAAGATCACGTGACAGAAAAAATAGATATATTTCTGAAAATTTGTCTAGATTTAGAAGATTCGTTAGACATGCTAACTCAACAAAATCTATATCATGAAATATAGATCTAATTTTGTTATTATTTAAAAAAAAGATGCGTACATAGCAATCAATAAAATGCATTTGGAACTAATTTTGAACTTGAGTGTCTACTCATTAAACATCAATGTCATATAGATTGAACAATTGTGCAACATATACATCAGAACTTACAAATTAGTTTACCAATATATAGTGTTGCGAGATTTGATTGAGTCAATCTGTAAAAGATTAAATAAATGGTGATGTACAATAAGTATTTTCCTAGATTGAAAAATCCTTCGACATCTATCTTATTGATGAAGTTTTTATCAACTTTCATTAGAGGTATTTTTTATATTACCTTCCATTTCATTTATATGGCAGATTTTAAAGTAATCCCTAGTTGCATTGGAGGTACTCTTGTGAGAGATTAGTTGGCTTGATGAGTTTTCTTTTCTTTTTAACTTTTAATTTCCATTTACTTTATGTTTTGATCATTTTATTTACTTAACTAAAAGTAAGAGCATCTTAGTTTATTTATCAAAACTTCGGCATATTTAACTGTGATCAATTGAATGGAAACCATCCAAAATGACAAATTTCGCTCATTAATTGAAAAGTTGGGAATGTTCGTACCAAGATTTAAATACTGGGGACCATTTGTACAACAATTATATAAGTTGGGGACCATTTGCGCCAATTTCCCATAAAAATACGTAACTCACTTTCATTGAATAATGCGGTGATTGCCATAGACTGCACATGAATGGAAGCACTCTAAATTAGAGGCAAAAATCTTGAAATGGTGATATCGAATATTTTCAATTGATGTGAAAAAGAGTGCCTAAATTTCTCTGGTAGTAGTTTTGAAGCTCTGTAAATGAAATTGAGAAAGTGAAAGTTACCTAACCACCAAGAAAAATTGTGACATTGATGATATTGCGAACCTCTAATGTCATTTCATTTTCAAAATATTGTAGTTGATAAATTACATTTTAATTGCAGTTAAACTCATCAATCTTTGCTCATTGTAGCAATCATTTTCTTAACTTCTTTCCATCGAATTCTTATCTTCAATTAGTATGTCTTGTTCTTGATGATGATTTATATTAAAATACTTTGTTTTCATGATTTGAAATGACGGAAAAATATTTTTTAGTACTTTTTATTTATTTATTTTTAAAATATTATAGGTAAATAAGTTGTTTTATGTCATTTCAACGGACTTTTAGATATGAAACTGTTATTAAATACAAAATGTGTTAATTAATTGAAATTTTGAAAGAATGACATGAAAAATCGTTAGGAACATAAATACTATAATGAGCAAAGCTTAAGAACCACAAGTACAATTACAATGTAGTGTAATAAATAAAAATTGTGGTATGAATATAATTATTCTTTTATGTTTTTGTTGGCTTGTCAAAATCCCATCTTATCACAGTAAGTCTCAGTTTGGTAGGGATTAACATCTAGATTTTAATCTAAATCAAAGTTATAAATGATTTTTAATCATACATTTCATGAGATCCACAACTTTTCAACCACACATTTCATCAATTTTCATTAAATGTATTTTTATGCAATCAAGATACATGTACATTAAATTTTACATCTTGTGAGGTAGCATTTTTTTAGAAATTGATCTTACAACATTTTAAACAATTAATGACACGGATTTTGACAACAGTTGAAATGTCAACTTTAATGTACACCAAGTGTATACAACTAGCTTAAAGTAATCCTAGTTGCATTGAAGGTCCTCTTGTGAGAAATTGGTTGGCTTGATGAGTTTTCTTTTTCTTTTTTTTCTTTTTTTTATCACACTTTTTAACTTTTATTTTCCATTTACTTTATTTTTTAATCATTTTATTTACTTAACTAAAAGTAAGAGCATCTTTGTTTATTTGTCAAAAATTTGGCATATTTAACTATGATCAATTGAGAGCTGGTTTGTCTCCCATTATTGAGAGAAAATTAGTGTAATGAATAGTATTTTTTGGAGAATGTGCGGTTGAAAATTAAAGTAACTTTATTAGTTTGTGTGTAGAATATTTTATTGGGTGAATGTGTGGTGAAGAATCTTATGTAGCAAATAATTTTTTGGATTAATGGTAGACAAACATTGGCTGAATGAAAACCATCCAAAATGATCAGTTTCACCCATTAATTGAAAGGTAAGGAATTTCCGTACCAAAATTTAAATATTAGGGACCATTTGTACTATACTTATATAGGTTGGGGACCATTTGCCCCAAGTTCCCATAAAAATGCATTTCTCGCTTTCATTGAATAATGCGGTAATAATCCACTGCCATAGAGACATGCGGATTGGGATCACCTGCCCCCACAGTAAATTTGAAAATTCAACATTTTCGAAAAAAAAAATTCTTTGTAGTTTTCAATTTTTATCCCCACACTTAAAATTTTATGTAATTTGCTCCCATAAATCTTATCTTCTAGCTAGCTCCGCGCATGTTTAGAGACTACACATGAATGGAAGCACTCTAAAATATGGGCAAAAATCGGGAAACAACATTTGAGAGGCACTGAAACAACATTTGAGAGAAACAAGTGGAGAAACTCTGTAAACAAAATTGAGAGAGTGACGGCATAGCTAGCAACCAAGAAAAGTTGTAACACTGATGATATTGTGAACATCTAATGTCAGTTAGTAGAGAATCTTGTAAGTTCAATTTTAAGATATTGTAGAAGTTTAAATTTGAACTATGTCATGATTTTTCCTTACCCTGAGAGGCTTTTAAGTTAAAAATCGATCCTCTACTTTTTATGTTTTTTATTGGCTTAGTCAAAATCCCATCTCTTATCACGCTAAGAAATCTAATCATTGATTTAGATTTTAGGGGCACCCTCTCAAAAAGAAATTTGACCAAACAAGGCTGAACACATTACATGTACTAACGTTATTTTCCTCTATTACTTAAGAGGCATTCATCTGCAATTCAGCCGTACAATAAATATTTAACCAAACAAGGCTGAACATATTATGTCGAGTCGTTGAGTCCTACAAGGCACAAATATCGAGAGAACATTTATTACAAATTGAGTGTTTACTAGCGTTTCCCCCGTGTCAAATATCACTTAATAAGGTGCCAAGTTTGGTGGTCATTTAATTGTCAAATATCTATATAAATTATTAAAAAAGGGTATGATTGCAAAAGCAAACGTGCCAAGTTTGGCTGTCATTGAATTATGAAAGTCATTGGACACTAGTTTCTCGTACACGATATGAATTATGAAACCAGAAATTGGGAAATGGCCACTAAATGCAAAGGATAGATGCACACAATAATCTCGATATAAGACAACGAAAATGATGTAAAGAACTCAAATATCGACCCACCAATCCAAGACCTGATGACTTTGCAAACTCAATGTCCTGTTCGAGTTTGATAACTATAGTTATAGTCTAACCGGATAACTACGGATAGAAGAATGTTTGCAAGATGTATAGCATCTGTGGAAAATATCTCACCAAGTGCACGGAAATTAAAGTTTTGAGGACCCAAATGTAAATGGTATAATTTTCCCACAAGTGAAAGCGGAACTGCACTTGAAAAATCATTCCAAATTGCTTCTGTAGTATAATATTTCAGGGCGCCCAAGTGTCGGTTTCAGACTGAAAAATGAATAATGGAAGATCTGTTGGGAAATTATTTAATTTGTCATGTGGACACTAGTTTCTCGTACACTATGAATTATGAAACCAGCAATTGGGAAATGGCCACTAGATGCAAAGGATAGATGCACACAATAATCTCAATATAAAAAGACAACGAAAATGATGTAAAGAACTCAAATATCGACCCACAAGCGATCCAGCACCTGATGACTTTGCAAACTCAATGTCCAGTTCGAGTTTGATAACTATTGTTATAGTCTAACCAGATAACTACGGATAGAAGAATGTTTGCAGGATGTATATTATCTGCGGAAAAATATCACACCAAGTACACGGAAATTAAAGTTTTGAGGACCCAAATGCAAATGGTATACTTTTCCCAAGTGAACGCGGAACTGTACTTGAAAATTCATTCCAAATTGCTTCTGTAGTATAATATTTCAGGGCGCCAAGTGACACTTTAAGACTGAAAACTGATCATGTAAACGAATAATGGAAGATCTACGGGTTGGGGGTGGGGATGGGGATCGGGATGAAAAGAATTGCAGAAAAAGGAATCACAGAAACAGAAGATAACTTTGGACTAACTTTAGTTCCTTAGGCCAATTCCAAAGTGAAATCGCCCATTTCGCCGATCATTGAAGGCATATTCAAGTCTTAGAGGCCCAAGAGGTGAGTCCACACGAATACCAACTCCATATCCGTATCCGCTTCCAGGCTTATTTCTTGCCCCAGCAGGATCACCTGATACATACAAATTATAAAACCACCAAAGGAGGGTAGAAAATGTTAGTGCTGCAAGTGCAAGTTCGAGCCACAATACTGTTCAATATAGTAAATCAACTTTTATATTTTCTTATTCAATTCTATTAAGTGCAATCCAATCCAGGATGCCAAGCATTCCATAAGTGCACAACAGAATACAAAAGCAAGACATTCCAGACCATAAGAAAGAAAGTGATCCACATGTAAACACCTAGGAGTTGAAAAGTTTTAATTAGGTCTAAAATTAATAATTTTTTTATCCTTCAAATTGAAAATAAGTTATTTTTTGTGAAGTAAGATGACAGATTTTTTTCTAAATGAGTTAACTTTTTACTTAAAAGAAAAACATAACTAATCAAAACATGTTTGGAAACAAAAAGTCAATTAAAATAACTTTTACTCATTTTTAAGCTCAGCCAAGCATGTTATTCCGTCACCAACGGAGCTGGAAAGGGAAATACCTGGAACAGACGAGCCTGAACCAAGATCAGTTCCGTAGTCTGCAAATATAGCCCCCTCTACTGGCCCCCTCTGCAAAATATGATTATAAATAAGAAATAGATGGTGGTCAAAGAAGTTTGTACTCCAGTTATTCTGAAGGGTAAGCAGCCAAAGGGAAGATGGAAATTTTGTGGTTGAGGGCCAGAAAGACCAAGAGGAATCCTGCATGGATCATCTAAACTATTCTAATCTGAACTTATTTGTGAAGCCACGATCTTTTAGACCTATGGTGTTTTTAAAGCTCGTCTATTGAAGCTTTTTGAAAGCCAAAGAGAGAGAGAATAGAAAAATTTGTCATCACACTCTTAGCCCCTGTTTGAGCTCCATTATAATTAGCTTTTGGGAAAAAATGTATTTCATAATAATGATTTTTGTTAAGAACGTGTGCTAAAAAAGAAGAAAAAATTATGGGTTTACGGGTAATATTATTTTATTGGAGAATGTGTGATTGAAAAGAAGAGAGAGAAAAATACATTTTGAAATTAATGAAGCTCAAGTAGGGGCTTAATTCCTAAAATGTGCTTTATCCAAGAGTAGATCCAACTTCCATTAAGAGTTGGAAATGTTCTCCACCAAAAAATTAAATACTAATAGCGAGAAGTAAAAAGGAAAATGGAGGCAAAACAATAAGACTCGGAACAAAAATCCAGCTATTATTAAAATAAATAGTAAACAACCCCAATACCTAGAACACAAGAGACCATCCACAAATAAATTTACATTCCTCCACTTACCAGCGGCAATGAAATTTCTCCGCTTCCAACCACATAAGACCGGCCTGATCCTACAGCGCCTTCTTCATATCCTCTCACACTGTTGGTTCCACCAATTGCAAATGCTTCATGGGGAGGAAATTTACCCACCACATGACCGCCTGAGAAGCTGTGTGGAGGAAAAGCTAGGGTAGTCAGCTAACCAAGACCAGCAATTCATAATTCAGAGGAATCTTGTTAGGGGCAAGAATAAATTACTACAGGGTCAAAAACACTATAAGTCAATCAACTTATAGTGAAGTTTCATGTTAGCCACCGAACTTTATTTGGTTACAAAGTAGTAGCTGAAGTTTGTTCTTTGTTTCAATATGGACACTCCATTAGTTTTTCTAACAGAATGTTCAAAGTGGAAGACCTCCATGCTGATTTTCAATAGACACCCACAACTTCCTCGTCCTTCCAATGGAATGATAAAATGAAGACAAAGAGGACATACCTAAAGAGAAGACATGCAGGTCCAACAACCCAACCCTGCCTGGCACGAGCATTCACTCTGTTAAAAATTAGCCATTCTGGCAACACAGGGATACCCTGATCCATGTTGAACACCAACTGCGAATTCACAATTTTAACAAACAAAATAGTCAACAAATTTTCTAAATATGAAATTAACAAAAGATGAAGGTACACGGTAAATGGTAAACAACTAACCATTGAAGACCTAGGGTCAACAGAACTAGTATATACTGTCTCGAGTTTAGCAAGTAGCATATCATCATGAGTATTTCCACTGCAGTAAAATTTGAAATAAATGCATCAGAAGGTATTGCACTCCCTCTATATGAACCAGAGTAACCAAGTATAATGCATACCTTGCCGTAAGCGGGCTGCCATAGAAATCCCTTATAATAGGATTTCCCTTATCATCATGAGCCCTAGCACGCTGGAATTAAGAATTAATCAACGCAAAGGAATTACTTCTATTTACATGTTGAACAATTAACAGAAGGCAGCCGAATTGGTTGTGACATCTATGCGAAAAGGAACGAGTTAAATTTGTTTGAATGGCCAGAAAGTCATGCAAAGAAAGTTTTTATCCAGAGAAGTAAAGGTAAAAGGAAATATTCCTCCTCAGTATGGTAGCATGAAAGGTTGAAATGGTAGTAAAATTGAAGGAAAAAGTATGGTGAATATTATCCAGAAAAACTGAACTTATCCAGTATATGTTTGTTTCCCGTGACTTATCCTTCACCAAATACTGAGAAGTATAAAATAACTATTCTTAGTGCACTTTCTTTTTCTTTTTCTTTTTCCAGTTGCACAAACAAAGCAACTGGAGATAATGAGGCAATTCATGTTTAAAAAAAACGGAGTTCTCAGGGATGCGAGCGCAACTCAGAATTAAGGTGCTCTGTTTTTTTGAAATAATTGTGTTGAGTCAAAACTTGTAGAGAAATACGGGAGTTCAGAAAATAATATGAAGTGGTGAAAGGTGATTATCATATCAGTGTTATCGAAAGAAGAAGACAAAACTGATTAGAAACTTATTCATCAAAAGAATATACAACAGCCATATTAAGCTATTACGGAATAGGGGTTCTTCCTCGTAATGCAATGGAGATTTTTACTTCAGATGCCAAATAATATATTATATCCAATTTTTGATCAATGAGAACCAGCAACAAAAAAATATATAACTACAGTCGGTTGGGGAAAAATATTAAAAGGCAAAAACTATTGCATACAATGCCATGAGCCTGTGAAATGTACCTGAAAAATAAGCCCAGCTGTTCCATTCCACTTTGGGCTGAATGGCCTGCTGTATTCAATCCCAGCCGTAACACGTCCTATAGTCAGACTATTATTGCTGGGCTGGTTTCCATGAACAAGTGTTCCAGGGGTTCTTGAATTCTAATTAAAATTAAAAAGAATCAGAATTAGCTAATGTGAAGTGACAGAAGATATAAATTATATGTAGAATCTTAACTACCTGAATTGCGATTGCTCTAGATGTCCTCTTATCATCTCCTTCAATCCAAGGGTCAGTGTAATTTATCCTGAATATTGAATCAATCTGTCCCCTCTCCAATGAAAGATTAAGCTTTTGGTTCCTCCCAAACAGATTTTTATGATAAATAGCAATGCTGCAATAAAATATTTTCAATGACTTAATTTTGGGGAGGGTTATGAACCTAAAGCAATAACCCGTGTATTGACAAGGAAATAAGAAGGTAAATTATATAAAGGAAACATGCAACAACATGAGCAAAAGTATCTGTATTGTCACAAACGTCTAGCCAATTTATACACGCCAAGAAGCATCACACTTCAGAGACATCATTTCTCTTGGAAATGTTTGATCTCCATTTAAAATATCAGACAGAGTTCTCGACCTTTTCCAAACACACACATGCAACAATAAGAGCAAAATGAAACGTGCAACAACATGAGCAAAAGCATCTGTACTACAAAGCTTTGTCACAAACGTATAGGCAATTTATACACACTAAGAAGCACCAACGCTTCAGTGACATCATTTCTCTCAGAAATGTTTGATCTCCATTTGAAATATCAGACAGAGTGCTTGACCTTTTCCAAACACTCACATGTGAATGAACTCGAATAAAACACTCCGAACTCATTTTTATTTAAGGACAAAAGATGGGAGGCACTTCTCAGTTCTCACGATGTTAAATGCTATACATTGTATGATTTGCTAATTAGGTTGATGTTGTGTCTCTGTATTGTGTACCATATTATAACAAATCATCAAGTGCATAATATATTAATTGCACATAATGTGTAACCTGATAACATATGCATGCAAATTGAAACTGTTAATTCACGAATAACCATGATAGTGCTTGAATTTAATTCTTAAGGTCAAAAGGATTGAAAACCCAATCCTAAAAGCACAAATCGGTGCTTTTAGTTATTATAAGTTCTTAGTGCACTCATCCTACTACTGATTAAATATTTCCCATTTTTGTGCCCATGTTTTTTGACATTCCAGTTATCAACCAATGACCCATATGAGCTCAAAGCTTCCACTTGAATTTCAATCATACTCTTGGATATTGATTGTAACTTCAGATTAATTAACAAGGCATCGCACAACTGAATAAATATAGATAGTTTACAAAATGAACTGCTGGTGTTACCTTCCAATTAGTCCAGCTAGAGGCCCATTTGTTATTCTGCAAAGAAAAAAAGCCAATAAGTTGATGGATGCTAGGAGATTATTCAAAACAAAAATATATACCTCAAGTTTAAAAAAGCAGCCAACATAAATACAGTTAAAAAATCACATACCCACTTGAAATTCCTCCACCACCAGAGATTCCTCCTCCACTTTTACGCTCAACAACATTCATTGTCAAATCAACCTTGTCAGTTTCTGAAACATAGCATCAAATATCATCAGTTTTAGGTCCATTTACATAATATTCGTTCATAACTTGCACATGCTCAAATACATAGAAGCGTCTCCGCTAATTATTAACATATAGAAAGTTCATGTTACCTCCAGCTGGCTGGGGAATAATACTAACATCGTCCATTATACCCATTGCTAATACTGTATCGACGTCTATTTTCCCTTGAATCATACTGTAGACCTACGTAACACAAAAATACATATCGACATTTACAGTTAAACAATAGCACTCGGGTGAAGCTCACCCAACTCAAACATATTTATATTGGATGATCTGTAAGAATTGCAACACTAACTAGGATTTGGTGTGTTCAGCTCAAAGTAGAAACTAGAAATGCAAAGGGATGGAAAAAGCACACAAGTGTAAATCTCTTTACGCCCTCCGGCTAGGGAACAAATATTTTAATAAGTGCTCAAGCGAGATTGAGAATGATATGCGGCATGTGTGTTACAATTTGCAACAATAAACAAAAACGAATTGCTATTTCTGTCTCAAAGCAGGAACTAAAATGCGAAGAGAGGAAAAAGTATGAGTGGAGTAAATCTCTTGTGGCTCTCAAGTTGCAAGCAAAGGACAAATATTCCATGAGCACTTCAAATCGAGGCTGAAGATGAATATTAGGCATCATTTATAAGCAGATATCCTAATTTACATAGAAACCTGTCCCTTCTTCGTAGTGAGTTGCCGAAGTATTGTTTCTGGCCTTGTTTTCCCGATAGTAGGCTCACCGCTGACGAGAACAAAAAGGCATAAGAGTTAAGACATCTCATGGGTGTTGGTTCTCATATAGACGTACAAGCATCCAAAATAGTTACTTACGTCTTATCAAGGAAACGTATGTTTATATTATTGACTTCTGCTTCTGAAACCTGTAACTTAATAATACCTCCTGAGAGAATCTCCACGCCTGAAACCTGAATTAATAATATTGATAAGGACAATTTGTACCAGAATGAAATTTTTCCACAGCAAATATTGTAGGATTGCACAAGACATGGTGTGTCAGACATAAATAAAAGAAAATGAGGATGGGGCTAAAAGAATCGCAGAGTACTCACCATGCCGAAAAGACCCCGCTCCATATACCAACCATTAATGGAGCTTATAACATCGTCTAAGCGCCTGATGTTAACAACTTTTCCTGCATAACTTGACACCAAAATGAGAATAAGAAAGTTCTAATATTAGAAAATTCGAAAACATAGAAAAGCTAATGATTTGACTCATTTGAGATATTTAGTAGTTGAAACAATCAATAAAAGACTGGAATGGATGATCTATGAGCATAAAGATCTCTGGTAAGCTTAACAAAAATTGTACCGTATCCATCCCGAAAGGCATCCTCAATAAACTTTGATGGGAGAACATTAGCTCCTTCGCATACCAATCCTTGAAACTCTTGATTTGGTTCTACCTTGTACCAAAAGATATTGATATAAGTACAATATAACATCCTTAATACAATATATACTCTATAATGTTACCGAATGCTCCATAAGATTTTTCCTAGGCAACATGCATGCAACATCATCATTCCATAAACACCAAAAATGAAGTTATTCACATCACATTCACCAAAATGCAACATCATCATTCCATAAACACCAAAGATGAACTTAATTCACATCACGTTCATCTGAAAGGCACAAAACAAATACACATCCCAGTGACATAATAATATATACTTCAAAAGATTGCACCTTTGTGCTCTATGCACAACATCATGAAATTAGCACACACCGCATTCATCAAAAAGTACGGATACGCGCATATTTGAAAATGGGCATGATCAGAGACCCCCAGTACCTGAAAAACCAAGCAAATGCCATCCCGGGTGTCCACAGCCAAAGGCATACAAGAACTAAAGTACCCACTAGCAATAACCCTGTGCACGTCTTCCTGGACCTCGCGCACAGTGAGCGCTGAATTTGCCCGCGAAGCTTTTAATGCATTCAGTACCTCATTCTCCAAATCCTTCCTCTCGAGTTCCTCCCCATCCTTGTTCCTCACCAGCACCTCACTTATTAAAACCCTCTCTTCTGCCCCCGCCCGACTACTACTCACATTCTGAGTCTTCGACTGAGACATCACCCCCGAGTCATCATTACTTTTCGACGGAGGCCCAGAGTCAGAATCTGTTAGAGACAATGAAGCAGAGCAAAAGAGGGGGGATTTCGATGGCATAGAATGAAAATGCTTAAGTTTACTGCAGGATTTTCCGACATTACAGTTAAAAAACTGGGTTTGTAAGAACTGGGAGAGGGAATTAATAGGGTTGAAATTCAAGTTGAGATTGAAGGGTATCTTGGGGAATTGTCTGTGACTAAATTGGAGGGAAGAGAATAGGACGGTAGATGGACGAGGGTGGGGATGGGGGAAGAGAAGAGGGAGTTGGAGAGAGATGGAGGTGAAGCGAACGTCATCGTTTTGGGGCATAATTTCTAGGGTTTATTGAAGCAGCAAGAACAGCAGCAGCAGCAGCCTAGATACAGTACTGGTGAAACAATGGTGATGACACCTTCGGATCCATTTTGGGTCGTGAAAACGGGCCGATATATTGAGGCAGAGTCCACTTCACATGAATAGCACCAAAAACAAGAGGAAATTACACAAAATCGGACTTTTAGGGATCGTTCTCTTCGTGTTTCAGTTTTGTATTTTGAATTTTTTGTTTTGTATTTTGAGTGTCTGTTGAAATTTTTGAAAATGCGTTCTTTTGTTATTTTGAAAAACTGTTTCCGAAAACATAAAAATGAAAAACGCGTTTACTTTGAAATTTTAATAATTTTTTTTATAATATTTTATTCAATAAATTTGATTATTCAATAAATTTTAATAGTTTAATGTTAATATAGTATTAAATAACATATAAATTTTGAAGTTGGTGAATCTTGAAATATTTTTTTCCAAATATAAAAAACACAACCTAAATTAAATTTGGCAGTCTTTATTTTTATAATGTTAATTTAGTATTAAATAACATATATGAAGTTGGTGAATCTTAATTTAACACCAATCTATTTATTTTCATTGGGATTTATTATCTACTCGTTTTGAATAATACTATTGAGATATAAGGACGTTTGCATGTACAACCTCCAACTTTTAGGCTTTTTTGCGCCTTCCACTCTAATTCTTTTTCTTGGTATTAAACTCCTCAACCTTCTATTTTGAGGGGGAAAAAAGTTTCGAGTTCAAGACATTATGCTTATTTCATGCTATGAAAACGTCGTATATAGAAAAATGGCACGATTCAAGATAGACAATGTCATGTTTAGGTGATTTTAGGCATCTTTACGCTACTCCCATCCAAGGGAGTCACGACGACAAAACGCAAAATGTGGAATTTTCTGAAATATAGTTACATCATTTATCTTTCACACTCTCAAAATTTACGAGTAACACTGAAAAAAAAAACAGTGGCAATTGATATGAACACCCAAATGTCGTGCCAAAAATCGAATAAGTTGTACGCAGAATTGGGTTTTAAAAAATCAACATCACACAAGCATTTCTTTAAGTCGACCAATAGTATAGCATTCAACTGCAAAATCTACTTCTCGAAGAAATCATAAAGCTCATAGAACAAAAATACAGTAAAAAAGTAAAGCAATTTACCATAGATTGAATTCCATCAATACATAATGTAAAATATCAACTAATAGTATTTGTGGTCTATGTACAAATTTTGACACCCGGCATCGTAATCCTTTTCTAAGCATAAAAAATAATAATACATATCGATAGAATGGGATAGCAAATATACCACTGAGTCCCCGAAAGATTTGTTTTACCACATCGAACCTTGAGAACAAGATCGTACCATGTGGAACCATGTATCTACCAAATATTTCATCAGCAAACAAAGAACAGTGCCAACATATATACAATCAAAGACCCAAAATGATTTCCATTTAGGCCACTTCAAGCATAATTATATGCGAGCAGATCAAGAATTAGCACTGTAGTATGCAGTAAAGGTCTCGAAGGGCAGCATACACTGGTTCAGCAGCCTTCGGTCTATCCACAGTCCGAAGAAGGATATTAGCTGTAGTAAGGTATGGATCACCATAAAACTGAAGATTTGTATCCATCCTTGTCGCAACAATGTTTCCTTCCAGTGAAACTCCCACAAACGCACCTGAGGCATCCATAACAGTTACACGAGGAACTACTATTGATCAATTTCTAAATAAGCATAAGAATGACAAATGAACTATTCAGTAGCAGAAACGGAGGGTGAGTCCAGGCAAACCAACTGCTATTTCATAGAAGTAGAACACAATATATTATCAATAAGTTGGTTAAATTTTAACACCATTATAATTGTTAAATAAAACAACGCTGATATACCAATGTCATCGTACCCATTATTAAATTTCGGAATGGAATTATGCAGCCAACCCAAAATAAATTCCCTAACCTAATAGCCCCCTGATGGCATTTGCACCGAGAACGTCAACCTTACAGTAGACGGATTCCTATTTATTAGTTTATTCCTCTGGAGCTTAAATAGCTATCAGATTGGTATTTTTCAACTTCATATATGAAAATAACTTGATTTAGGTTTTTCTTTGGGCAAGATGAATAGGACTCCAGAAAAAAAAATGTTGCATGCCATGTCCAAAGCAAGGTTCCTTAACTAGTTTTGATTTCTTCTCCTTTTTGTTAAAATCAGTCCACGTGATAATTCTAATACAAACCACAAACTGGCAATACAACAAATTTAAAGTACTTTGATTTCTAAGACAGAAATTGAAATGTATTACCTTTACTGTAGAAATGTAAATGAATACTCCAATTGAAGAGGACGAAATGGTGAAGAGAGAAATTGATTCAATTGGGAAATCTGAAAAATCCAAAATACAATGAAATCGAGCCCAGCACTTATACTGTGCTAACAGAAAAAACAGAATGAAAGTGAAGTAAAAGGACGTAAATAACCTTCCACTAATTTCATATAATTTCACATTTTAACATTCCCCCTCAAGATGGCAAGTGTATGTTTAACACTCCCATCTTGTTAAGAAGTGAAGTAAGCCTAGTTCTAGCTAAAGGTTTGGTCAGTAAGTACGCAAGTTGTTGTTGAGAAGTTGTATGCAACATCTTGACTTCATTTGCTTGAACTTTATCCCTCACCAAATGACAATCGATTTCTATGTGCTTGGTTCTTTCGTGGAAAACTGGATTACTTACTATGTTTATGGCAGACTGATTATCACAGAACAGTAAGGCAGGTCTGCTGTGATCGATTTGCAGGTCATTCAAAACATTTCTCAGCCATGTAAACTTACAAACCGCTGCTGTCATTGATCTATATTCAGCCTCAGCTGAAGACCTTGATACGGTGTGTTGTTTCTTAGATTTCCATGACACTAGAGAATAGCCTAAGAAGATGCAATATCCAGTAATTGATCTCCTTGTATCAGCACACGCTGCCCAGTCAGCATCACAATATCCTTTAAGTTGAAGATCAGACTTGCCGGGAAAAAATAAACCTTGTGCTGGTGTGCTCTTCAAGTACCTCAGGACATGATAGGCTGCCTTTAAGTGAGGTTGTTTTGGGGATTGAAGAAATTGGCTCAGAACTTGTATTGGGTAAGACAAGTCAGGTCTGGTGATAGTCAGATACAAAATTCGCCCAACCAGCCTTTGATAAACACTGGGATCAGTAACAGGTTCTCCTTCATCCTTTTTTAACTTCAAATTGCATAGCAAGGGAGTATTTGCTGGTCTAGCACCAAGAAATCTAGCATCAGTAAGAACATCCAATGCATATTTTCTTTGGCAAATAGATATCCCAGTTGAATTCCTTGCCACTTCAAGACCTAAGAAATACTTCAGAATTCCTAAGTCTTTAAGCTTAAATTGCTTATTTAACTCATCCTTAAACTGATTAATGTAAGTCAGATCATTTCCTCCAAGTATTATATCATCCACATATATAAATAGAGTGGTGAATGAGCAGCCAGTTGCCTTGCTAAACAACGAATGATCAGACTTAGATTGTCTGAAACCTTGTGACAAAATATAGGATGTGAGCTTTATGATCCATTGTCTCGAAGATTGTTTCAATCCATAAATTGACTTGTTTAGCTTACAAAACAACAGTTCACCTTGCTCCCCTGCTGCTCATAACCTGGAGGCATAATCATGTAAACCTCCTCAGCCAACTCACCATGAAGGAAGGCATTGTTGATATCCAACTGATGAAGGTGCCACTACTTAGCAGCTGCAACTGCTAACACTGTCTTCACAGTAACTAATTTCGCAACAGGAGAAAAAGTTTCTTCATAATCCGACCCCGCTTATTGAGTGAATCCTTTGGCAACTAGACGAGCTTTCTTCCTTTCTTCTATGCCATTGGAATTCATTTTAACCTTGAAAACCCATTTGCAAGCAACATGAGTCTTGTGATCAGGAAGAGGTGTAATATCCTTGGTATTGTTAGAAACTAAGGCATTATACTCTTCATCCATGGCTGTAACCCAATCAGGATGCTGAGATGCCTCTGTAAAGGTCTTAGGCTCGAAGACAGTGGACAGGGCCAATGTATAATTTATGTGATGAGGAGACAACAAATTGTAGCCCAAATAATCTTCAATGGGCTATAGTTTGCCAGAGTCATTATCCTTCTTCATGGAATCTGAATGGGAAGACAGCTAAGACATGAGACTACAGTGATAATCTTTCAAAAATATTTTCGTTGTTGTTGGTCTGTGGGTCCCACTCGTGAAAGAGTGGGTCAAAAATGGTGGGTTGTAACGGACAAAAAATTGCTTTCTTTCCTCCAAAAATGGCTCCCAGACAAGGCCTGAAAGAATATGTAGTTGAAAATGAGTTCGAAGAAATGAAATTTTGAAAAAATATATATATAAATCAAACAATGGCTTAAAATTTTGTTCCTCATGAATTTAGGCATGCACACAATGGGAACGGCCTAGAATAACTTGTTGAGTCGCTTCTTGACATTTTTAATTATAATATAGAGTCACGTTAAATGTGTAGTTAGAAATAAATAAAGTTGCGGGTCAAATGAAATATTTGGTTAAAAATAAGTGTCATCAATAAGCTTTGTCAGATAGGTGCTAAAGTAATCCATTTGATTTAGAAAGTTCAAAGTTCATTTGATTAATTGCTGTTGTAGTACAAACAATTAACTTGGAATTCCAAACTTTAAACTTAACTTTGGATTTAGCTCCTAGCCCTATTATTTAAAAATTTATTTTTTTAAATTCATTTCTAACTAAACATTCTCTTAATAAAATAATTTTATCGTAAACTAATTTTTTTTTTCTATTTTTAAACACACATTCTTAAAAAAAGTCACCATTGCAAAATCTATTTTTCAAAAAAATGGAGTTCAGACAGAGCCTAATAGTTCTCATCTCGAGACCTACGACCTATTGGGACTTTGTATACAGCTAACACATAGGCGGATGGGAAGGTAAAACAAAAAATCCGTTGACATTTAAATCGTTCAAATTTATTCAGCGCTAAAAATATTTAATATGAGATATTTGTCAAATATAACTTTAACGTGATAGAAAATCCAACTCTACTCGACTAGCTAACCTGTATACTTTAACCAATACACTACATTAAGGTTCAATTTGTACCCCGAACTTTTCAGAAGTATTGAATAAATCCCAGAGAATTAATTGTCCCATGCTACACTAATTGCATGACATTTCTAATTTTTTCGATCAAAAGCATATTCTTAATATTTGCACCTTAAATTGTTGAATAATTACAAAATACCAAAAACTTGACATTTCAGCAAATAATAATCTCTAGTCAACACTATTTGTCTCCTATATAATATATCTATTGGCTAAAGGGTCATTTTCACTGTTTTTTAGTCATAAAAAATGAGTCTTAAATTTTTCAAGGAAAGTTCATAAGAATCGAGAAGGAAAACTAAGGGGTTGTTTGACAAAGTCATCGGTAAAAAAAAAATTAGCTGATTTCGATGAAAAGTAGATGAAAATAAAGTTAAGAACTTCATAAAAATTGTGAGTATCGTAATTTATTATTCAAATATGTAATTTTTTTAATATATCAGTCCAATTTGCAAAGGAAAAAAATTAGTTCAACCACGACTCGCTCTACCTCCACCTCAACCCACACCACGTGTTTAAGGTTGGTTTTTATTTTGCTTATGTGCCGTGCCATCCCACTCTCAGATCACACCACTTGTTTTACATGGAAAAAACAAATGGGAAAGGAGCATGCAAAAGTCACCTTTAGGGCATGATTGTGAGTTTTGAATACTTGTTACGAGTATTTTTTAAAATATTGATTTTGAGTGATTTTAGTAATGATTTTTAAAATACATCGGTTCTGAAAGTTTTTTAAAATAAAATAAAATTATATATGTCATTTAGTGAAATTTTTAATTTTTTGTATTATTTATTTATTTTTATTTTTTTACTCAAGAGCGATATTTTACTCGTAAGTTATTTTTTATATATAAGTTAAGATTTAATTTAAGAGGTTAAGTATTTAATTTCAAGTTATTATTTTTACTTATAAATAAGTTTTACAATTATAAATTAATTTTGTGCTTCTGAATTTTTACTCATAAGTAACTTTCTTAATTTTATAGATGAATTTTTGTCTTATTAGTAATATTTTCATTTTATAAACAATTTTTTACACAAAACTATTTTTTATCTTATAAGTAATTTTTTTGCTTGTAAATAAATTTGTAATGCATATTTATTTAAAAGTTAGTTTTGAACAAAATATATTTGTTGAAAATAGTTATTTAATAAATAACAGAGTTAGAAGACAATATGAAAAATGGTCAAAATCTACCGATTTTATGGATTGAGATAAATTGTTAAAATTACACTACGTTGATTTTTGGTGATTTTTAAATCATTCAAAATCGGTGCTTAAATAAACTAGCAAGTATCAGTTTTCTCAACTTCTCATAAATCGTGCCATTTAAAATCGATCAAATTTGGTTTTAAAAAAATGAAATCCCAAAAATGCCCTTATTTGTCAAACTTTGACCATCATAATGGAAGGCTCTATTGGCTTTCCACATTGAATTGTGAATTGACTTTTCATTTCCACCCCCTTTCAAATAAAAATATAGCGCAGCCGCCCAAAATCCTCCTATTTGTTTTACATCACCCCCTCTATAGATTTTTCAATAATTGACTTCAAACCGCGTCGGCCTTCTTAATTGTCCCCAATTGAAATAGAATCAACGAAAACTATGGTTGACCCAAACATTAGAACCTCTATTTATTGAATTGTATAATTATTTGAACTCTAAACTCGAGTTTTGCTTGAAAAGCAAAAAAAAAATAATAATAATAATAATAATTTATTATTTTACTATAGCGCACGAATCCATTCACCAAGCATACTGGTCGGGTATGAAATGTCAAATAATTTTGGGTTCGTAATAACATATTGACTCGATCACGTTGAGTCATTAATTAATTTTGACTTTGAGAAGTGATTTTATGAAAAATAATTTTTTTAAAGAATATGTGAATAAAAGTAAAAAAAAGAAGAAGTTATGATTCTATGTATAAAATTATTCGATTCAAAGAATATTATACTAAAAATAAACAAAATCAAGGACTAAAACAAATTTACAAATCGAACAATATGTGTTTGGTGGTGATTAAAATTAAATTTTTAACAGATTGTGATAGAAATTTTTGAAATGTGTGATTGAAAAGCTGTGAGACCATGATAGACATTGTTAATATTGCTTGTTTGAATTTGATTTAGATTAAAATTTGACTTTAATCCGAAACAAACAGGGATAATAAATACTATAATTAATTCTCAGTTGATTAATATTCATATTCATTTAATTAATATTAATTAGAATTTCACATCCACATCCACATCCACATCCACATCCACATTCACTTTCACCTCTATATCCATGTTATTAATTCGCAATTAATTAACATTCATCAATTTAACTAATATTAATTAAAATTTCACATTCAAAAATGCGATTCATTATTCACGTCCATACTTACTAATTAGTACCAAATTTCACTTAATTGAAAATTAAATTATAACCATTTAATATAGATGATTTAACATTAATTGTCATGTATATATTCCTTAGTATTAATTCTAAAGCGATTAACATTAACGTCATTCATATATCGTATTGTCATTCATCTTCATTTATATATTTAATTATATGTTTAATACTTACGTTCAAGTATGTATTTCACAAATTATGTGCATGTATAATGACTAACATTTATTTTTAGGGACTTCTATTTGTCTCATATTTAGATAAAAGTGAAAAATGGGGGTCAAATATTAATTTTACATCACTTATAACGACATTTTAGAATAACATATAACGCACGTTCAACTTTGACTAATGAAATAAATTTTCATGGGTACGCTACACTTGCCCCTCCACCCACCGCGTCTCTGTTTGATAATTATTATCTGAAAATTCATTAATCACACGTTTATATAATAAAATGTTTACACGTAAATTCAAAATTTATCCTTAGAAACATGTTTGACTAAACTTAAAATCCAATTAAAATTGAAAAAATAGTCATTATTGGGTTTCACTCGTCTAATAAAAGTCAACAGCAAAGACTAATTTTTCAATTTTAATTTGATTTTAATCCATACCAAACACGCCCTAATTTCAAGTTTTTTTAAAAATCACTGCTCAAAACTAAATTTTCTCAAATGATGGCCGCCAAACGGGGCTACGTAAAATATCTACACTTAGGTTATGGCGAGCCACAATATATATTGTTGTGTCCAGCCTCTGCAACTGGCTTCTCGTTCGTATCCTCCGCTCCAATACATTTCTCCTCGTTCCTCTCCTCTATTCCCGATTTCCGAGGCGACTCGAACGAAGGTAATTTCAATCGCTCAATCCGATTTTATTTATTTTTTATTGTCGAGTTTTCAGATTAGTATCGGTTGTTTCATAACCGTCCCTTTTTGTTTCAATGTCAATCCATTTGATTCCCCTTTTTGGTACTGTCGTTGCTGTTGTTTATATATATTTTTGTTCACTGGGCATCTTATACGTTTAGATCCGTGAATGAAGCATAGAAAAGTTCTCATTTTTAAGGTCTGTATTCTTTAACATTTTTGTAGATCTGAATGCACTTGACTGCTTTCTATATTTTGTAGATCTGATATTTGCACTAGTGTTTCCGATGTCTTCTAAGGTTTATTTTATTCAATTTTGGATTTTGAAATTTGAATTATGGTAGTTCCGTTCATTTCCCAGCGATGAAGTTCAGTATATTGCAGATCTGGTAGATATCAACGTGTTGTTTTTTTTTTTTTTGGAATTTTTACTATGTCGATATTAGTTTTTTTCCCGAAATCTTTGGCTGATTCATATTTTTGCGCTTTATAAAGGCTACTTCCCCTTCTTCTGAGCTAGCTGTATCATTGAAACGTAAGCTATAGGAATATCTAATGTATTTTAATTATATAAACCAAAAATGGGTTTGTTCATCTTTGTTTTAGTGACTGAACTTGGTCTATGAGATTTTTTTTTTTTTTTTTGTTGATGCCCTTGATAATGCAGGTATAATTGTTTGTTTCTTCACAATGCTTTTCTGGCTTTGAATTCATGAATTTTCATTGTATTTGACACCTTGAATGGGCAAGTTTATTGTGCATCATGCAAAAATTACTGAAGTTTGTATCATTTTCATGATTTAGTTATCAGTTGATATCAAAATAAGTGATACTGGAATGGCTTTCTTATGTCATTTTCTTCTATTATATGAGTTGAAGTACTTCTTGAGATCTGATAGATGATCCTTGATTTTGAAACAAGTGAAGAATAGGGTTAGCAATAGATTGTGAGTTTGGTGTCTGATCTTGATTTATTCTTTTGTAGTATGAACTGACCTCCATGTTTTGTAAATCTGCAGGAGTTTTATTAGTTAGTTGTAATGGCAGATAAGTACCAGCATTCAACTATTGTTAAGCAGGTAGCCAACCAGCTACATCTAAGTTCCAGTCTCTCCCAAGAACAACCTCGCTTTGGTGGCTTCCAAAGCCCAGCTTTGTATCAAACACGTTTTGCATATGGCAATTACACAAATGCAGGACTGCAGTATCCTATGACTTGCAGAACTACCCAGGATTTGTCACTGGTTTCTGCAAATGCTTCTCCAGTGTTTGTCCAAGCTCCTGCAGAGAAAGGCCTTGGCAGTTTTGCTATTGACTTTCTAATGGGTGGAGTTTCAGCTGCTGTGTCAAAAACTGCTGCTGCCCCTATTGAGCGAGTGAAACTTCTGATCCAAAACCAAGATGAAATGATTAAGACTGGCAGGCTCTCTGAACCTTACAAAGGAATTGGAGAATGTTTCAAGAGAACAATTCGAGAAGAAGGTTTTGGATCTTTGTGGAGAGGAAACACTGCTAATGTCATCCGTTACTTCCCTACTCAGGTTTACTTTTATGCTTTTACAAATTTTATTTACCATGTTTTCAGGGTGCATAGAGATTCCATCTGTCACTTGCTATTTATGTTCGCGCTCTAATTTATATTGCATATTCCATAGGCCTTGAACTTTGCATTTAAGGACTACTTTAAGAGACTCTTCAATTTCAAGAAGGACCGTGATGGCTACTGGAAATGGTTTGCTGGCAACCTTGCATCAGGTGGTGCTGCTGGGGCTTCCTCCCTACTCTTTGTTTATTCCTTGGACTATGCTCGTACCCGTCTTGCAAATGATGCCAAGGCTGCCAAGAAGGGTGGTGAGAGGCAGTTCAATGGTTTAATTGATGTCTACAGGAAAACTCTGAAATCTGATGGTGTTGCTGGTCTTTACCGTGGATTCAACATCTCATGTGTTGGTATTATTGTTTACCGTGGTTTGTACTTCGGCATGTACGACTCATTGAAGCCAGTGCTCCTGACTGGATCATTGCAGGTTAGTATATCTCCACAAGGATTTTGTTTCTTTTTTTTTAGTTATTGTTTTTGTATTCTATAGATCTTTATGTTGTGAAATTCTATTTATGGATCGATTCATTGTCGAATTTCTTTGTGTTTGTATTAGCATTAGATAAAAAACATCAATTTGTTTGGCTCATGGAGTTATGCTTATTCTTGATACTGTATTTGTCACTGTATTACAGGATAGTTTCTTTGCTAGCTTTGCTCTCGGTTGGCTCATCACAAACGGTGCTGGACTTGCCTCCTACCCTATTGACACAGTTCGTAGAAGGATGATGATGACGTCCGGTGAAGCTGTGAAGTACAATAGCTCTTTGGATGCATTTGCTCAAATCCTGAAGAACGAGGGTGCCAAATCATTGTTCAAGGGTGCTGGTGCCAACATCCTTCGTGCTGTTGCTGGTGCTGGTGTGCTTGCTGGTTATGACAAACTTCAGGTGATCGTTTTCGGAAAGAAATATGGCTCTGGTGGGGCTTAAATGACACAAATTTGTTTCTTTAGCAATAGATGGTGATGACAATCTTTTTGTTGTTTAGTTTGAGAATTTGTCCAACGCAAAATTTTACTCGTTTGAATAATTTAAATTAGGGAGTTTCGATCCCAAACATTGTTTCCCTTTGAAGGGTATTTTGTTTTGCAACCTTGTCATCGAAGAGGTTTGAAGTTTATGATGACGAATATTATGTTATAGCTTTCGTGATACTTTTTTTCCCATATAGTCTGTCATGTCTTCTTCAGAATCTTGAACATCTCCTGTTTTAACTTATGTGAGATGTTATTAGAAACATGAAAACATAGAGCTGTATCATATGGATTGATGATGTTTGATGAGAATATGGTAGTCCTTTAATTTGTTTTATGTAATTCTCAGGGTCGAACCCTTTTGGATACTTACACCTACTCTTCCTTTTCTTCTTCCCGTTCTCTTTACTCTTCACCACATTCGCTTCAGCAACTATTACAGTAGGATCACTCGACTTGTTTAGCACCTGTTTTCGCCAAAGTACGACATCACAGCAATGAATCTGGGACCTGGGTAGTGGTTTCAACTGCCCGTAAGCTTCTGCTTTTTCGATGTGTCTTATAAGCAGCTGTCCCAAGCAACTAAAGCTTCAATATTTCCATAGCTTTCCACTACCTCTCCGTGTTGAGCAGCAGCCTCTTCCACGTCTGAGCTTGAAAAGGGCAACCTCCTGTGTTAGTACATCAATCTTATTGTCTTCAGTCATGGCATTAGACCACGCCCAGATTGCAGAATCTAACATGGCATCGCAGCCAACAAGATCTTCAGCAATGCAGAATCTAACTCGGCATCAGCACCATCAATATCTCAAGCACGTTCCTTGAGAGAGACCAGGTTGGCAACTGTTCTGGGCTTGTGTTGGAATATCGGGTACTTTGATCACAGTCTGGCTTCAGCAACAAAATTTATTTTTAAAGTCTTTCTTGGACTTCTGAAGTATTTTTATAAATGTTTACACAAGCATCCATTTTTCCCAAACGAATGCGATTCTAAAATCATAATTTCGGAGTTCTCTTCTTGCCCTATCAAGGTCCCCAAAGCTTCATCCAACTTATTTTGC